AGGACATAGTACTTCAAGAGCGCAGGGCATCTGCTTGGCAGGAAATGCATTCTCTCACCTCTGAGGATCCAACACAATTTCTGCACTGGTTGAAACACGTGGCTACCAGAAGCAGACAAGTTCTTCAGAAAATCCTGAATCATTCTAGACCCACACAGAACTGATTAGACCACCCATAGCCACTCATCCTCTCTTTTTGCTCACAAATCCTGAGTACCTACTGTGTGCCCAGAGTGGGGCGGTGGGGGGTGAGTTATGGAACACAATCTACTGACGTGCAAAAAACTACAATGTGGCTCTCTCTGGAAAGTTCTGCACCTGTGTCCAAGTCAGGGCACAGAAGTTGAGAAATAGAGGAAAGAAATTAATATTTATGGAGCCCTTACTGTGTGTCTGGCTGTATGCAAAATGTTTGGCAAACTCGCCCTCATCACAACCAGATAAGCAGATAAGCAACTCATCCCCGTAGTACCCATAAGGCCACTGGGTCACAGATTCCCCTACATCAGCCCGATGGGAAGGGAAGATATGGCTTCAAGTGCTGGGGCAACTGATTTTTGCTGCAATGGCAACTTACACTGCAGTTATTATTAACTATTTTTGTCTGTGCTGAGACCCTGTTAGCAGGGTGAAAAGGAGCATGTACTCCTCAAAGTAATAATGTGGAATAAAAAATGTAATATACAATTGAAATAAAACCTGATTGAGTTGAAAAAGAATTATCAATATACTTCAAAATTTGAGATGTTGTTAGCTATGTGCTTCTTAGCAATGAACTTAATGGCAAAACGTATTGGAGGGTTGAATGCTCCCATAAAGCTGAAGAGCGATGAGCATAAACAATACCCTGAGATGACCGAATATGAAATTATCTACAGTTTCCACTGTGGACCGTCACAGACGTTGTTTTGGTTACTGTTCACATTGCTCAGACAAAACATCTGACACTCCAAGTTAAACAAAGAAAGGTTTATTTGACTCCCAGTTTTCAGAGGTTTCAGTCCATAGCTGGCTGGCTTCAGGCAAGAAGGTATGGCAGGGGAGAAATAGTCCACGACAAGCAGAAAGCAGAAGACATCAAGCAGTAGCCCTGTCCCTTGTGTCTTATCCAGGCTACGCACCCTTAAGGCATGTACCACTCAGACCCAAGGAGCGGCAGTTTTAAGCCTAGCATCTCAGCATGAATCAATCCCAGCATCACATCTTTTATCCCAGAACCACACAACCCAGATCCAGCACCTCTAAAAAGCCCCAACTATGACCACATGAGGCTTTGGGGGGACATCTACATACAAGCTATGGCAGACATTAGGAAATGGATGAAGTTTGTTGTCCGTGTGTGTTATTAAAAGAGCCCTAAATTTTAATTAGAGCTTAATAACTTCAAGATGTAATATTTCCAGCCAAAGCTCATAGACCTAGATTCTGCTTATTGGGATCCGTTTGGGGACAGCAGGCTAACAGTGACGGTCTTGTGTCATTTATGTCACTCAGTTCTGTTTGAGGGCATTTGACAAGGATTCCTCTGAGTCTGGCATCATGAAGAAATAGTAAAAGGGAAAGACAGGCGATTGTTGATGTGAAGTAGAGGGACACAAAAAAGGACCCAATCTTTGCAGCATCCTGCTGTGAGTGAGGCACTTTCCAGGACTCCCTCATACCCACAGGGCTGCATTCCAAGCCCCCAGAGATGCATAATACAAAAGACAGCACAGAATCCTATTTATACTGTATTTTTTCTATGTGTAGATACCTAAGACAAAGTTTAATTTATAAATTAGTAAAATATTAATAATAACAATAATAATTATAGCTAACTAGGATTAAAGTTATGTGAACATGCACTTGCTATGCCTCACAAAATATCTCACTTCCTCACTGCACCAAGTAATATTTTGAGACAGTGGTTGATAGCAAGTAGCTAAAACCGTGTGCCTCGGGGGAGATTGCTATGTATGATGTATGCAATATCTCTTTTAAGCTCCACTTAAGCGTGTGAAGAGATAGAAGTTCAGAAACCTGTATGATGTATGCAATATCTCTTTTAAGCTCCACTTAAGCGTGTGAAGAGATAGAAGTTCAGAAACCTGCCTAAAATTTAATCGCTACTACACGGTTGAGCTAAGATTTGAACTGCTCTCTGTCCAATCCCAATCTGCTAAGTCAGATTTAGCTCTGTGGGTGTGCAGTTCCCACCCTTGGAGGACAATGTGTGAGTCTTTATGGAGGGATGGGGAATTACAAGAGCCTGCACTGAAGGAGGAAAATTGTTCACTTTTGCTTATTTTGTAGCCAAAAGCTGGGTCTCTTGGATCGGGTTCGCCTTTCTAATCCTCGTGGTAGCAATACTAAAGGAAAGCTATTTACCCCTCTGAATGTAGATGCCATAGAAGAAAGTCCTTCTAAAGAACCAAAGCCAGTTGGCTTAAACAATAAAGAGCGTTTCCGCACCGCCTTCCGCATGAAAGCCTACGCTTTCTGGCAGAGCTCTGAAGGTAACTTCCAGATCCTTCCCCCTCACCCTGCCTCCTCTGCTTAGCCTTCTCCTGAGCTCTCCATATTCCTCACCTCTCCTCTGCCCATCAAAGAGCTCTGGAGTCCATGGCACAGCCTCTCTCTTCCCTGCCTGGACCGATTGCTCACTTTACCTTACTTATGTCCCCTGGCCTGGAGGTACCAGTGATATATCCATGACTCGTAGGCTCCCAAGCGACCTGCTTCCCTGGGCCGGGGTCACTCATGCTTCACATAAACCTCCCCAAGGAGCTTTGGGACACTTCACCACTGCTCTAAATGTGGTCCTGGGAAGTCAAATTGGAGGACAGAGCGGAGCTAAGAGCAAGCCACCTGGATATGGGTGCGTTGGCTCCCCCACTATGTGGAAAGGGTCAAGAAGGCACTCTGAGGTTGAGGGGCTATGAGACAGTGGCTGCATGTGTCTCCTTCGCTTGGGATGAGGGAGGGCAAGCAGGAAAGCAGCAGCTTTGGTATCTGAGGCCACCCTTTCTCTTGACCCTCGCAGGGTCTCTCAGTCCTCTCCAACATCTGTTGGAAGGGACCTTCCAACATCCCCAGGGTAGAGACTGACAGAACAAGAGTCCCAGCTCAGACCTGCTGACGCTGAGGCTTCCCCCTGTGCCTTTTGCTGATACCTGGGGTGTGCAGCACTCGCCTCACCTCCTTCCTGTCCCTTCACCACAGCTGCTCACACCTCTGGCTTTGACTTCATAAATTATAGATGCTAAGAAAGGGTTGTAGTGTCCCAGCTGCTGGCTGTGGTGTGATTCTACAGAGCAAAAATAAAGACTGCGGGACTTAGAAGCTATAACCCAGCAGTGGATTCCTGAGTCTTTCATTGTGCCATGGCGTGCTACTGATACGCTTGTCACCCTCCCAGATGCTGGAACTGGTGACCCCATGGGGGAAGACAGGGGCTATGGGAATGACTTCATCATAGAAGATATGATCCCCACCCTGAAGGCTGCCATCAGAGCCGTCAGGTAAGGACTCCCCTCCCCACCTGGAGCCTCCATAGACCCTAGTTTAACTGTCCCAGAACAAAGCTTATAAGGTATTCTTGGATTTGCGGGGTACAGGAATCTCCTCCAGTAACCCTGAGTCAGATCCAAGGGGGCTGATTACTCTAGGCAGGGTGCTATTTTAAAACAGTATTTCTTCCTGGGAGACTGTTACTTCCCTGTTCATAGAAATGCTCCCATGGTCTCCTAGCCTAGGTTCACTTGTCACACTCTTTTCTGAGTTTAACCACCTTTTACTTTCAAGGATGTCAGAGCAGAAGGTGTATTGACATTGAGTTTTCTTTTTTCTTTATAGGAATATTGCTCAAAATAGCTTGTCTTCTGCCTATCTCCATCAATATATTCCTTTTAAGTTAGCATTTTGACAAGATTAAAAAATCATCACTGTTTTGGTCTGTGTTGGAGGAAACCATAAACCATCCTGGTGGTTTGCTTCAGAATTCTTTAAGAAAAGAAAGTACGCTACTACTTTACATGATCAAGATAGAGGTATCCTCTAACTTCATAAGGGTGACAGAAAATTCTAGGATCTAGGACAGTTCTCTAAGCCTGAGCCATTTCATTTCCAACAAGATTCCCAATCCCGTAGATCAGGGAAGCGCGGCACTGTTATCAGCCTTGAACCTCAGCAACGCCTCTTACCTGTTTGCTCACGGCACCATCATGTGTGATGCGGCAGAACAGCTAGATGAAGGTGCACCTACCTGGATCCATACATAGCTGAAGGGTTTCATGGAGAGAAAATCATGTAGCAAATCTGGGTTGATTGAGAAGCAGGTATCACTGAGATGCTCCATGCTCTGGTCGCTGTCTTCTCCTACTTTGCCATTTCATCGATGCCTCAGTGCAGGGTTGGCAAACCTTTTCTGCAACGAGTCAGTAGCAGATACCTTAGGCTTTGTGGTCCATGAGTCTCTGTTGCAAGTACTCAGCTAACCATTGTAGCGCAAAGGCAGCCACAGATGGTTCATAAGTGAGTAGGCATGGCTGAGTTCCAACATGACTTCACTTTCAAAATTGGGCAATGGGAAGTGATGGCCCCTGATCCTATGATTCTTACCTTAGGTGAAAGTAGGCAAAAAGCAAGCTTATAAAATCAGGAAAGATATCAAGTAAATCTGATGTTGTAATCAATGTGCTAAAACAAATGGTGTTTAGCAACTGGAACTAGATAGGTCAAAGAAGATGAACTTTAAATGCCCTGTCTTAAAGATTCATGCAAGTATGAAGTAGGAAGGTCTGGGGCCTCTTCACATGGGTATTGGTTTTAGCTGATCTGATACCCATAGCAGTTGTCCCTAACGTGGGTTTCTCAAGAAACATTAGCCATCAGGGTGACCTTACTTTAGATCCTGAAAGATAGAGGTGAGCCTTTGATTTCTTGTGCTAATTTGAGGTTCCCCATCTTTCAAGGGACCAATAAAACTCAGAGGATAGAAATCAACTTTTATAGGATTTCAAAGCCATATACTGAAAAGGCTGTTGAGGAGGAGATGTTATCAGCTGTCCTCAAATAGAAAGCAGCATGCCAGTGACTAAGAGCACAAGCCTTATCAGCACAGAAGAGCGGGTCTGAGGTCCAGCTCTGACATCACCAGCAAGCTGGCCCTGGGGAGATGTGAAAGTTCTCTGATCCACAGTCGCATCCTTGGAAATTGATATATTAGGAGACAGGACCTAAAACAGTGTGTAGTGTCTGGCATGGAATGAATGCTTACTAAATACCAGCTTCCAGTAATACTTGTAACAGAAACCTACTACGATTCTGTCATTAGACTGAAGGGGCAGGTAGTTCTGGAGGAAAAGCAGTAGGCAGATCAACAAGGTAAGGTTCAGATGGGTAAAACTACCACCCAAACCCAGGAGTTCTCCTCATCAAATTGTTTTCTCTTTGTGTTCTTCACCTGCCCCTCAGTTTGTTAGCCTTGTAGTGTCCTTGTACAGCTCCATTACTCTGTATTCACAATGCACAAACCCCTCCACTCTATCTTACAGAATTCTACAATTCCGTCTCTATAAAAAAAAATTCAAGGAAACTTTGAGGCCTTATGACGTGAAGGACGTGATTGAACAGTATTCTGCAGGGCACCTTGACATGCTTTCCAGGATAAAGTACCTTCAGACCAGGTAAGGCAGTCACGGCTGGGAGTCCTGGGCTCACCCAGCTGCTCAGGATCCCCCACCCAATGAATGCAGAGTTTAAGGTGAAAATGGTTGAAAAATAATCCAAAGCACAGAGAAGCTTCACACATCAAAATGTTCCTTGAGCACTTGGGATGTCACGGCCAATAAGCACCCAGTCACTCAGGATGTGAAGATGCTCTGTGACATTGCCAAGGCCCAGGCAGCCTCCTGATGGCACCTGATGGCCGAGAGAAGGTGCATGTTCCACCAGGTCTCCACAGTGACACTTTGGACATACTCAAGAAGACTTGGGTCCACTAAACTGAGTTCAGCTGGCCAATTCTAAATATGACTTCTTATCCCATATTACAAAATGTTTAAGCACTATCTATAATTGTAAAAATATGAAATTAATGTCAGTGTCCAATTAATTGTCACTTAGAGTCTCAGCACATCCATATCTTGTCCCTAAGAACCTCTCTATTGGATGCTTCATATATAACAGCTGCCATAGTTCTAAAGAGAAAATAAACTAAAAAGGCAAAAGACTAGCCCCAAATTACCCAGCTAACTAAGGTCAAGAACATATAAATACAAATAATACAAATATAAATATGTTGCCTGTAATGTACCAATATGTATGTGCACATGCAGTACCTATACTGTCCCAATAAGATCTATTGAATATGCTCGACCTAGACCTTGTGACATTACTATGATACTATATAATACACATACCTATAACATATGCTATAATTACAAAATTCTATCCACTGTTTCCTCAGAAATATACTTGATAGCCGGGCATGGTGGTGCACACCTGTAGTCCCAGCTACTCGGGAGGCTGAGGTGGGAGGATTGCTTGAGTCCAGGAGTTCTGGGCTGCAGTGCGCTATCCCAATCGGGTGTCCATACTAAGTTCGGCATCAATGTGGTGACCTCCCGGGAGCGGGGGACCACCAGGTTGCCTAAGGAGGGGTGAACCGGCCCAGGTCAGAAATATACATGACATGTATACATTGCCCTACAAAGGGGATGTAGACCTGGAGCAGAATTGACACAATGAGATTTGACTTGAGTTCTTCCTGGGTTTCAGCCTGTCACGTTTCACTGGGGGAGGGTCCTGCTGGGTTAGCAAGAGTGGCATGGTGAAGGGATTGGATGTTAATGATGCTGCCCAGTACAGATATGCTTACAATGCCCTAGTCATGCCCCACCTGGATGCCAACTTTGCTCCTCATCGTGGCAGGCACAGAGCTGGTGCTTGCTGCCCCATGAATGGATACATGAATGAAGGTTCAGTCCAGCATACCGTTATTTCTGCAAATATAATTTGCTGAGAGACAGAAGGGGGCATGCCAGACTCCAGAAGGACCAGCCAATTCAATGAGCATAGAATAGAATGGATTCTGACACTGTCATCTTTTTATGTTTATCATGAAAATGTGTTTCTAAGGGTTGTAGGCAGAGCTTGACTGCCTGGGGACTAACTGCAAATACCTCTTCACTCTGCACTACAGTGGGCCAGGCACAGAAGGCCAACTTAGCAGGGTGTATCCCTTATCAATAGACATGCCAGATCTAGGTTTGCAGGAGGCAGACAGCCACCCATGGCTGTTTCGGGATGCATTGTCTCAATGGCCCCGCTGCCACCTGCAACCTTCTGCAATCCTGCACTACAGTGGGGAGCATTTCATTCTGTAGACTCCAGCACATAGGGGGAGCTGGAGTCTTGCACAGAAACAGAAGTGGAATGCAAGAGCGAGGCCTGGACCATGTTTCTCATGCCTGGGAAGCAGCAGAGACCTGCGCAGCTGAAAAAGGAGCCGAGAACCTGGCAGTAAAACTCCCTAATTACAGGGTTTGGGGAGGGATAAAAGAAATGGAAGATGAGATGGGCCTACAGTGTATGTATGGCATTTCCTGTAAGAAAGAACACTGGGTAGGTCTCATGCCATCTCAGCAGTTTATCTGCCCCTCTCCCTCTGGGGCTGAGAAAATGCACTCAATACCACAAGACCAGAAGAATAATCATACACTACCTTGTAAGTTCTCTCACTCTCAATCTGTCTCTATAGAGATGAGAGAGGGAGAGTGGGAGGAAAAGAGGGAGGGAAGGGGAGGGGGAGAAGGAGAGAGGGAGAGGGGGAGGGGGAGGGAGAGGGAGGGAGGATCTTCCTTTCTCTTTTATGTATTTCAATCCTTCTTTTCTTTTATGTATTCCAATCCTGAATTTGAACTAAGGGAGTATAGAAGGATTTGTTTTCCTGCTAGAAAATTTTACGCAATTTAATACTTCTTACATTTGTTTCTTTCAGAATAGATATGATTTTCACCCCTGGACCTCCCTCTACTCCAAAACATAAGAAGTCTCAGAAGGGGACAGCATTCACCTACCCATCCCAGCAGTCTCCCAGGTAGGGTTTGTGAGCAGGTTTTGATCACATAGAGCACAAGCCTACTGAGGGTCCCTACACACAAATGGCACCAGTGTTTTGGAGCTGGTTTCACTTCACGGCCTTTAAAAGGTACAAAAGACTGCCTACCGTCTTCCTAGAACAGGATGGCTTTTGAAAACAATATATATATAATTTTATCATTGTAAAGCAAGACAAAACTTGTGAGTTTTGTTGAGAAAGGAAGAGTGCATTATGTTAGCAGACCACGTGACATTCCTGGTCAGCGGGTTTTGTTGGCTGATACCCCTGCTGGGATATAGCCAGAGGAAGCAAGGTGAGGTCAGACGCCTGACATTGTTGGAATCCCGAGAGCGTGCTTGCCACCAAACAATGTGAAAGTTTTGATCAAGGAAGTATCCTTTGGAAAGTCCAATGCTTGCATTTATACCTGTTTATTCCCAAACGTCTTTGAGGTAAGCAAGGTCAATACATGAGAGTAAAGGCTTATGGAGCAGGGTACGCTGCTCCCGTAAAAAAGAAGCAAAAGTATCTGCATGATGACAAAAAGTCTCTGGCGCTCAGCCTCAGGAATGGAACAGGGACTGAGGGGACCCGGGGGCTTAGAAGCCACAGCCCCAAACAAAGGATGGAGCTGTTACTCAGTTCTCCTGTATCTTGCAGAGGAGCATCCTTGGTTTCCAGATAGTACATTTGCTTAGGAAACCTCACTGCCCAGATATTTTGTTCCTTTCTCTATTTTTGAGATGGTGTGTGGAGTGTTCTCATAACCCATGCAGGATGAAGAAAACACTGCTAGGCTACGAGTAGCAGGTAGACCACTAGCTTGGTTCTTTTGTTTGTTTGTTTTTTGTTTTTGTTTGTATTTTAGGGAAGGGTGTTCAGGGTCTCACTACTACATCAGAGTCAGTGATCCACCTGTGTACAGCCTCCCAAGTGCTGAGATTACAGGTGCCTGCCACCAAGCTCAGTCTCAAGTGTCATCTCAGCGTGCCCTGGAGGCGGGACCAGAACAGCAGGCCTGAGGATTGAACCCCTGGCTCCTGTGCCTGCTTGCAGACACTTTAATCTGCTGAGCTATTTGGCCGGCCCAGTCTCACTAGTTTGTGACATTTATGTTAATTCAAGGTCAAGCAGCCAAAGACAGACAGGAGACCCAGCAGGAATGGCAGGTTAGGAGATAGAGAAATCAGCTACCAAGACAGTGCTCATTGTGAATGGTTTTGAACAGTGACAAGGCCCCTTGAAACCTCTCAAGTGTGTAGAGTATAAAAATAGCCAAACTAATTGGAATTGAGGCGGGTATTAACCGTGCCTAGCCCGAGAGAAGATGCAGCACTCATCTGACTGACTCCAGTTCTCACAAACATTGTTCTCCGCATCATTTCCAGATTAAAAAATGTTTCCATAGTTAGCAAAATGACAAAGATGAAACACATTTGCCCACTGAAAAAAATTTCAGAGCTCAAACAACTTCTTGCCCATCCTACTTGCTCAGGGTTGCAGATCTCTTTCAGAAAGAGATTTAAAATCTAAAGGATTTCAACCCTCTTGGCACTGTTAGGTGCTTCGTTAACTTTCATAGAAACCAAAGCCTCCTTATACAGGCACAATGACACTTGCTTGTCATCCCACATATGGGGGTCTCTGTGGCAGGAGACCCATCTGTTCATGCTTAGCTCTGGCATTTTAGTGGGACCCTGTCTGTAGAAAGTATTTTTAAAGTACTCTCCTTGATAGTAGCTTCCTATTTTGTGTCAGGTTACCTTCCAGTGGAGTTAAGCATGAAATGTACAACGCTGAAGCCCAGAAGAGGTGGCTTGCCCTGCCTCCCTGTGGCCAGCCTTGAAGAGGTTGCTTCCAAGATTTATTAGCAGGATAATGAGCTTTGGCAGATCTGTGGGCCATGACTATGGGCCATCATCTACCCAGCTGGAATGACCTTGGAAAGCAGAAAGGATACAAGGAGCTCATACAATTGTTGGCTTTTTCTTAGGAATGAACCATTTGTAGCCAGAACCTCCACAGCGGAAATGGAAGACCAAAGCATGATGGGAAAGTTTGTAAAAGTGGAACGACAGGTAGGTCTTAGAAAGCAAATGCACAGAGTTTATTTCCAAGTGCCATTTGTTCCTAGGTAAGGACAACACTTGGGTAACAGAACTTAGCTTTTACAGACGCGAATGGGCGTTACATCTTTACCGCCTGAGTGATCACGTGTAAGCTAATTGTTCTGAGACTCAGTTTTCTTCATCTGCAATATGGGGATTTTAATGCTTCATAAAGTTGTGAAAATAAGTAAGTTTATATAAGTGAATTGCCTAGAATATTAACTGACACCATGAACAATCAACAAATGTGCGCCACATGATCATATTCCCCAGGGGGGTCCCTTAAAAATGTTAGGGAGTGGCCCCCATGTCACATGTCCTGAGTCCCTTCCTCTGCATCTCTGTGTCAGCGGGTGGCCTCTGTGAGGTGGCCTGAGGAGTGTGGTGATGGGCGAAGTTCACTCCGGGTGGAGAGAGCAAGCGCTCTCACAGCACCCCTCAGGGCTCGCCACTCACGTCCACTGTAAGGCAGCGTATAGTCTAGCATCTTCTGCCTGATTTTGTACCACATGAATGGCAGCACCAATGCCCTCTAGGAGTCATACCAATCCTTTTATTTTATGCATAAAGCAAAATTGGATCCATGCCGGAGAGCTGAGAGAACATTTGAATGATTGTTCTACATCATTATGTCAAGAACACTGCACCCCTTTAAATTTTTTTCATTTATAAGCTCATACTGGTGGCCATTTGTTGACCGTTCACTGTGTTCCTTTCTGGGACATGACTTGGTCCAGTGTTTTATTTGCAGTGTCATTTGCCAAGTTAGGTAAGTCCCTCACCCGCTGGCAGTGTTTCTTGGTGAACCATGACTTATCAGTGAAAGAATATCTACAAACACACACACACACACACACACACACACACACACACTGCAAACTTGTGTACTTGCACACACAAAAATCTAGAGAAATTTCCAGTTCAGGCAGTCAAGGTCCAGGCAGCTTCTGTCATTGCCCACAGGTGTGAGCAGGACCTCCACTTTCCAGAAGCCCCTGTACGGTCACCCTGACCTTTTATCTCCAAGGCTAATGTCACCATGTAGGAAATACACACTAACTATCCATATGCTTCTAAAAAAAAAAAAAATGGCAAATCCAGAACGCCCATTCCCTGGCTGGAGCACTGCCAGCAAGAGCACTCCTGCGCCAGTGCACACATACCATCAAACCATCTCTGCTGCCAGCCCAGAAAGCGCTTGTGTAGGTTGCTTAGAATGATTGAAAGTCATACACAGGCCGAAATGTAGTGAGTATTTTGATTTTTAACAGTCTATTCCAGTAGGACACGCATTGCCCTTATTCACCTTGGAAGTGCCCCCGTTGGTACTGACACACTTATTCCCTATTTTTCACTCTCTGTAGCAATTCTCAGGGTCCTCTTTGGCACGCGTCCTGAGCTGTGATCGCTAGCACAGTGGGCGCTGCTGTCATGCGCCATCCAGGGGAGAGGCAGGTTCATGAAAACATTACGATACATCCTCGTTCACCTTACTCGCCACATCTGGCACCACGCAACCTTCTGGCTCCGCCCCAAATCCAAAGTGACCTCGGAAGATAAAAATTTTGAGTCAGTTCAGAACATTAAGGCAGCTGCAGTGAGTGACATGAGTAAAGATACTCATGAAAGAGGACTGCCAGAACTGCTTCAGAAAGTGGCATGAAAGATAGGCTAAGAGTGTTCAAAGCAAAAGGAGTATTCTGAAATGATTAATGACATTGTGTGTTTTACTATAACAAATGTAAAAAAAAATTGAAACACCCACTGCATTTTTTGATTACCCTTTATGTATACAGGGCTTGCTAGTAGAAGGCAAAAACTAAATTATTAGACATGGTTATAATTATTGTTAAGAACTTTGAGGCTTCTCCTCTGTTCTGAAAAATAAAGAACTATAGTATTCCTTCCTACCTAGTAGCAGCACTCCCGCTTCCTGAGGGAGCGGTGACTCCCGGGATCTTGTCTCTTCCAGGTGCAGGACATGGGGAAGAAGCTGGACTTCTTGGTGGACATGCACATGCAGCACATGGAGCGGCTGCAGGTGCAGGTCACAGAGTACTACCCCGCCAAGGGGACGAGCTCGCCAGCTGCAGGGGAGAAGAAGGAGGACAGCAGGTATTCAGACCTGAAAACCATCATCTGCAACTATTCCGAGACAGGGCCCCCTGACGCTCCCTACAGCTTCCACCAGGTGCCCATCGACAAGGTTGGCCCCTATGGGTTCTTTGCACATGACCCCGTGAACTTGCCCAGAGGGGGACCCAGTTCTGCTAAGGTCCAAGCCACCCTTCCTTCCTCCGCAAGCTCCTATGTAGAAAGACCCACCGTCTTGCCTATCTTGACTCTTCTGGACTCCCGAGTGAGCTTCCACTCCCAGGCTGAACTGCACGGCCCACACACAGACCACATCTCGCCGCGGCAGAGACGCAGCCTCACGCGGGACAGTGACACGCCTCTGTCCCTGATGTCGGTTAACCATGAGGAGCTGGAGCGGTCTCCAAGCGGCTTCAGCATCTCACAGGATAGAGATGATTATGCGTTTGGCCCCAGTGGTGGATCCAGCTGGATGAGGGAGAAGCGATACCTGGCTGAGGGTGAGACAGACACGGATACAGACCCCTTCACGCCCAGTGGGTCCATGCCTCTGTCATCCACAGGGGATGGGATTTCGGATTCCATATGGACCCCTTCTAACAAACCCACTTAGCAGGGGTCACTGGCTGACTCCTTGTAATGTATACAGACTGTGTATAGCTCCCTGAATCTCACACCCAACACATACAGTGGGGACACCAGTAGCTGCATCGGATGCATGCGTGTGCACAGTGGCCCCGGCCAGCAGGGGCTCTCAGCCTTCTGCCCCAAGTCACCACAACGAGCCGCTTCCTTTTCAGCATGGTTTGCATGACTTGACACTATATAAGTGGTCCCACTAGCCTCCTAGGATACACATTAATCTACTGTTCTTGCTTTCAATCATAATTGGACCAGTACAGGGAAAGATTATTGATGAGCCGTGCTATTGATTTGTTTGGTTGACTGGTTGGGGTCTTGGTTTGGTAAGCAGAGAATGGAGCTTAAGTTTTTCCAGGATCACTGCCCCTTTGTGTAAAATACATTAGGAATTAACTATTTTCTAGAGCAAAGAAATAATTTCTCAACAAGAACACATTGCATACCAATGAGGCTGCCTATGAAGCAAACATGAGGCAAAGAACAAGGCAGCCATTAGGACTCCAAAATCAAGAATTTAAAAATTATTTTCTTAAGGAAGAGCCAACAAAGTCGTTTAGGAATTCTCAAAGAGATTCGCATGCTCTGCCATTGTCCAGTACTGTGTCTCAGTTCCCCATCTGTGAAAGGTGTCAATAATCACTATTGTAGCATTTGACATATATTATGAATTGGTTGGGATAAATCACACACGCACATACACACATACATACATCCCACAGACACAAACATGAAAATTAAGAGTTCCCAATTTATGTAACCAATGATAGTGAATTTTACCACGTGAGGGTGGTTTGCAGAGCTGGAGCCAAGCTCAGTGTCTTCAAGATGAGGTTCCCGCTCTTGCTGCTCCTCATGTTATTAGGTGTCCATAATCACTATTAAAATGCAAAATATCCACTCAAAGCACAGATTAGGATCAAGAAGGCATGCAGGCATTATCTTCTTCAAGTTCTCATTCTTCAGAATGAGAACTCCTAGGCCCAGGTCCAGTGTAATGCCTGGGGACACTCCATGGCACCATGGAGGACCAGGACTCAAAGCTCGACCTGCTTCCTTCCTGACCTGGCCTCCTGTCACTCCACCAGTCCACCATGTGCACACTGGGACCAAAGTCGAGCCAAGATACTGGTACTCTGGATTGTGTGAAAAGAAATCCTCACGGTTTATCCTGCAGGGGGAGAATGTCTGCTGTCATTGCAAAGCACGTGTCCTTGATACATTACTTTTAGGACACAGAAAAATAATAATGCAAGCAAGATATAGCCATGAATATGCAAATTTGTAAAATTTCCAAAACTACCCATTCTTACTCTGCTAGATTTTTGACAATGGATACACTGACATTACATATACTTGTAAGATTTTCTGAAGTGTAAACAGACATGAGGAGTGCACTGTCCTGTAGCAGTGTCAGTATTAAGCACAAGGCTCACCACAGTCTCTTAGGAGAAGTGGCTATTCTCTGAAAATTGATGGGAAAGTTTTCTGGGGCACTTGGGCTACAGTTACTACATGAAAACACCATACCATTACTCTCATACTCCTTCCATGATCTGAAGCAGAGGTTGCTGATAGTTGCCATGGTGACCATCAAGATGATCCAAGAGACCTAGTCAAATATTTACATACTACTGCAATCAAAGCTCTCCCTCACAGTCACTATGGTAAACATCTAGTTGATGGTTTCATCCATGTCCTGCCTTGTGGTGAACAGGGATTTCTTCTGGATTGGTTCTGTATAAATCGAACACCAGTGAGTCTTTTATCAAAATCTAAGAATATAGTACTTATTGAAGGCTTGGGCCTTGACTTTAGAAACTTACACCAAACCCTGATGTCTAATCCAGGGCTGGCATTGTAAATGCTAGAAAAATGTTTTACATGAAGGGTTCCATGAATGGATGGGTACTGACCCTGAAGTCCAAGATGGGAAGTGTGAAACAGTGGTTATACACATTGGGCAAGAAGCCCATCCCCTATGGTTTTCCACACCACCTTTCATCAACTGGAAAGATGCAGGGCAGGGACCATTTGGTCTTCATCCCCCACTCACCTCACTATGACTTAATTACTGCCACTGGGGCTATGTCTTAAGACATTATATGTCTTTTCTTAGGGACTTGGGTCTTGGCTTTGATCTTCCTGGGCTCTTTAACCAGAAACCACTGTGCTATCTCTCTATTTTATATGTCCCCATGTTGTTCTTTATGTATTCAAATTACTGGAAATGAAAACAAAAAGGGAAAACAAATCAAAATCTGTACATATATACCAATTATTCTTTCTAACATATTAATATTCTTGTGGAATCCAGTATCATCTTTGTTTTACAAATAGATCCGTATTTCAGGACTTTGGTGAAATTCTTGCTCAAGAGTGAGATTTTATTACCCCAGTGCTTAAGTGTATTCTGCAAACCAAAATTAGATAAACTACCTTAGATTCTATTAATAACCTGCCTAGAATGGAAGCTTGGAACATTTCTCAAACTACTGGTAGGAAGTCAAGCCTCCCTGCTGAGTACAAGGTTAGACCCCCAGGAATTGGATTTGTGTTGATTCACATCATCTAGTAACTTCTCTTCATCAGTGTAGACACAGACAAAATGCTGAGCCCATGAAGGAATGAGAACCCTAGGAACTGCTTTTTCCCATCTAAGAAAACCAAAAGAAAAATGGGATCTTTCAGAATAATTGTGCTTTAACATTTATTTTCTTTTTCTACACCTACATTCTAGGAAAACAAAACCAAACATACTTTGTTGCCTGCTTACCAACTTGACTGGAACTAATGAAGCACAAGTTGAGGTTCTTAGATTCACCGTGAGCAGTGGGGATACAGTTGTGCTTCTACAGAATTTTTCTTTTCAGAGAAAAAAAAAAACACCACATGATGGATGACTCCAAACAGAACAGTATCCAACATCATGCCGCAGGCTCATAGTCCATGCTGGTGGTTCCACAGCTTTCCCATGATATCATTGCAGTTTGAGCCCAAACCCATGGAAATACTGACCAATTAGTTCTCTAGGAATTATTTTCTCAGGTATTTATACTGGCATATATCTGGTTTTTGCATGTTATGTCACATGAAACATTAAGGAAATGGGGCAGGGATGTAGCTCAGTATAGAAAAATTACCTTGGTTCCACCCTCAGCACCACAAAAAAATAAAAAATTGAGATAATTTGGGCCCCAGGATATGGCTTAGTGGAAGAGTACTTGCAAGGTGGTTTTATTCTCCAAGTCCACCTGAAAATTCAGAAGTCATATTTTAAAACAAGATTAACAAGAATGATATAAACCATCAGTTATTAATGGTAGGCTAATGGTCATCTTGTGGACTGAGAAAACAATTTGAGATTAAATCTGAGTTTTAACCATCAAATACCAGGATACAAGCAAACACCAAATGTTTAAGAAATGTAGGATGAAAATGTCCTAGCGATTTGATTTGAAAAAAAGAAAAAGAAAGAAAGAAATGTTGGAGATCTGGCTATGGTGGTGCACACCTATAATCTCAGCACCCAGGAGGCTGAGGCAAGAAGGTCACCATCAGCTCAAGGCCAAACTGGGCTACAGTGAATTCAAAACCAGCCAGAACTATATAGCCAGACCCTGTCTGAGAAATAAAAAAGATAAAAAATAAAGGAATGTTAGAGGAAAAGAAATACAATGTACAGCAAATTAAGAAAGCTCTTTGCTGGTTCTTAGAACTGAGAAACCAGACTTATTAGACATGATACTGGTATTACATGGTCCCGGTTTTCATGAAACTATAACTAGAAAACACCAAAGTACATAGGTCAAAATAAACTAATTAATCAGCCATTATGCATCCTCTGTCTATCTTCTGCAAGGCCGTTCCAGGCACTGTAAGAGAGTAATTACTTGTAGGGAAAAAAAAAAAAAAAAAAAAAAAAAACTAATATACAAGATTTACTTAAAACTTGCCAACACCATTTTCATAATTCCATGGTATTCTAGTGATATTTTAATAAAGAAAAATTTATTTGTTAACTCATTTGACAAGATTTATTAAGCTCCATCTTATCCAGGAACTATGCAATAGAAATTTAGTGATTAGAAAGGCACGGATTCTGCCACAAGGAAACTAGAAATCTCCTGTTCGAGGTCCCACAAATGTCAAAGGTCTCTTTGACTTATGTCAACGGGGATGAGAAACATCTTAGTTCATCCTGTGGGAATCTCTACCAACAGGAATGTTTCTCAATCTGGAGGCAGCTGAGGGTTCAATACTGAAGAAAGTGAAAATGAAAATTTTGCATCAAAATGACAATGATCCCATTACCCCAGGGGAGGCTGCGTGGGTTAAAGGAGCACTATTTGCTGGGTTTCCATGTGCTGGACCTTACAGTTCCTGTGCAAGAAAGCAGGATGTGAAAGAAGTCCTTTAGACAAATCTGCTTTCTCCTCTCTAAATTGCTGCCAAGATGAAGAGCACAGAGAGTTCCGCTTCATCATGTTACCAAGAGAAGCTACGGTAAAGGTCATGTCAGAACATCTTTTTGAAGAGAACAAGGTCACTCTCCCTGTGAGAACTTAGTTCAAATTCTTTGAGGGCAAGAGAAGAAATTTACTCAAGGTCTTAGAAGCCAACTGCACCCCCAAGAGTGCTTGCCAAACACATCCTGGACCCACCAACCTTTGCCATCTAGAAAATGTCACAGAGCTGCTCTGCAGCTTTCACTAGTGTCCAAGGCACTAGGACTACAAAGAGTTTCATTTTCCGAGTCCTTGGCACATCATTAGGAATTTGCTTACACTTGTCCTTGAAAGCTTGCTCATTTCAGGATGAACTGTTTAAAATACTAAATCTTAGCATCCAAGTCAACCCACTCTGCTTGGATGATTGACAGTTCATCTTTTAAACCCTAATTGTCTCAACAAAGTAGCAGCTGGCACCTCACAGTTGCTCTGGAGGAACAGATTAGCGGTCAGGCTATCCACATATCATTTGTGGTTTGTAGAAACCAGTGTTACCACAAAGTATCAAAGAGATAGGAAGAATAGAGCGATGTTCTGGACAAAAAATTGCATTTGGGGGACACTTAAATGAACTTGACCCTTCTGACCTGTTTTGAGTTTCACATGAGACAAGCTATGTCCAAATTCCCAAGTATAGCCGCTTCATCAGACTTGGGGCTGTTTTTCATGTTCATGTTTTATATATAGCTTGTGTCAATTGCACT